AAAAGATATTTTTTCGGTATCTCCACATTAGATGGTGCTAAAAAAATTGGTAATCTACTAGCCAAAATTAAGGAGGCGGTTGGTGTTAAAAAACAATGAACAGCAGTTGATTTGAACACAGTAATAAATGAAATAGAGGCAGAAAAGAATCAAAACACTTTAGCCTTTCGAACAATAAACAGTGATTTTTATGTAGACAATGCACTCACTACATTATATTTAAAGCATAATCTTCTCGATCAACCAAAATTAACTGAGAGTGAGAGAAAAGCAAAAGTCACTGAATTAAGTGGAAAAGTTGGTGATGCACGAAAAAAAGTTGGAATAAATAACAAAAAGATTTTTAATTTACAAGCCCGCAGAGATAATTTGTATTTTGAAAAGCAAAATCAAGAAAAATTAGGAAAAAGAAAAGAACAGTTTTTAAAAATTTTGAAAGGTGATTTGAGTTCTGATTTCAAAGATCCTAGTGATAATTCAGATAAGAAACTTAATCTCATTAATTTAACTATTAAAGATTATGCAGGTGATAAAATATTAAAAAAAGATGGTGATGGCACTGTTAACAAAAGTGTCACTCAGTTATTAAATGATGCTAGGGGATATCTGAATAATTTGAAAGATTCTAAGTATGATTTAGAAAAAAAAGTTCACACTCCTCTTATCCAGTCCCCTTTATTGTCAGGTCTTTTCGGAGAAAGGATGTATAATAGCAAAGGCGATCTATTATATTTGATTGGCGACTTTGGTTTTTCATTCACGAAAGTTCTTAAAGATATTGGAGCAGAAAATCTAAAAAAAATTGTTGAGAAAGTTCCTGGTATTGGTGATAATGAGAAGAAAAGATTAAAAAAGTATGCAGAGGAAATTACTAAATTTATCTTTTACACCGAATCTTCTCACGGTCTTAGTTATTCAGAATTTTTTGATAAAAATAAAAAAGCACTTGTTGATGAGAGGTTTAGTTCATTTCACAAATCGCTTTTAAAAAGAGATCCAGAAAATCTTGAATATCCTTATTACGATATTCCTAACTGATCACATATCTTTGAATTCATGAAATTTGTTTTTCCCATTAGGAAGGCGCCTAGTAGTGGCGATCAAGATTGGTACCTTTTAGAAGATCGTTCTTACTATAACGATCCTGAGTTAAAGCCAAGTAGTGGAAAAAAAGGATGAGAAGGATTGACTATGTATGGCTGAGAAGGAGATGTTCCTGTTGGTAAGAGGAGTACATATCTTACAATTTATAAATATGCAACTGAAGATCCAAAAGCATCTCCAACACTTAAAGAACAAGCCACTCAAACAAAAAAAATTCCCGATGATTGAACTTTTAAAGACATTTGCCAGATGTGATGAAATGCTTTTATGCCTTATATGAAAGATCCAAAAGATACTTCTAAAAATGGTTACTCCACGGCTGCTAGTTACCTAACAACAGGAGAGATAAACCAACAAAAATTTTTAGAAGAACTTCGCTTTTGTAAAACTATGAGGGAAATCTTGTTCGAAATGAAAATTTCTGAACAAATTGACGATTTTGATGATATTTTATTAGAAATTTCGCAGGATGCTCGAAGAAATGCGATTAGTGAGAAAAGTTTTAAAAGTTTTTCATCATATGCTGTAGTCCTTCCTGACAGTATTAATAAAACCTTGGATAAAGCTGATATTTCTATTAGTAGTAGAGAATTTGGGACTTTCAATTATGAAAATGCAATTGAAAAATATACGGATTTATTTTTTCAAAGATCACTCCGAGTTGCTGCTCTTGAATCACAGATTAATATCCTCGATAAACAGATTGGTGCTCTTGAAAGTGATAATGCTGATAAACAAATAGAAATTGATACTTGAAATGCTGAGTTAAGTTTGCTTCAGGAACATGAAGAATTTGAAAAAAAAGATCTTCCGGGCAAAAAGAAGATGTTTGATGACTTATATGATAAGAAAAATGAAACAGGCAGAGACGGAAAATGGATTTTCACTGAGTTAAGGAGTTTGGAAGCATATCTAGACACGATTAAAAAAGAAATGAATGATGATGCAGCTTTTGATGCAGAATATAAAACTAAATCTGATGAAATTGCTGGTTTAATAACAAATGCTAAAGCTGCTCGTGGAGATCTTACTGATTGACATAAAGCACTAGGGAGTGAAGGTGAGATAAAAAAAGCAATAATTAAAATTAAAAAAGATAAGGAAGATGGCAAAAACCTCACTGGGTTAGAAGATATAAAAGCTTCTTTCGATAAATATAAAGGATATGTTAAATTAGATGATAAAGAGGAAAATGAATACAATCAAATTGACGATGCGATAAAAAATCCAAATAAATACCAAGATGATAAACCAATTACTTCTGACCTGGACCCAACGAAGTTAACCAGTTTATTTGGTTTCACTGTTGACCAAACATTAGCAGACACTTGAAAAAACTTCGCCTACAAAATTCTTACGGAAGCCGAAATCAAAAAAATTTTTATTGATACTTATGCCCCAAACAAGAGTGGACATAATGGACTCCTGTCTCATTTAAATGAAAGGGGTGATGTTGATAAAGATAAAGA